TGCTCTTCAGAGCATTTTTCAGGGCTTTGATTATTTCACAAATACTATTCATTACTGTAGAAGATTGGGAAAATAAGGTGACCCCAGTTAATTCAGTAATATTAAAACAATTATAAAATGAGTCTATTTAACAAAAAAAAATCAGATATCCAAATGACTATCTCATACAGTTATCTCACAGGAAAATGACAACTTCTAACACAAATAACAGGAGGCCTCACTTTATATTGTCTATTTCTTCACTCACAAATGTCAAGTGAATATGGCAATGAAGAATAAAACCTAAATTTGAAGTATCCACATGTCTCTGCTTATCTGTAAAGAAGGAAAGGGCTCTTGGTGTCCTCTCTACTCTGTCCCTTCAGAGCAGGGAGGATGCTGTGTTCAGCCTCTATTCCTATAGCTCATAAAATACCTGGCACTCAGGGCACTTTTGGTTTAAAAATGACTGACAGCTTTTTACCTCTATAAAGGGCTTTGAAAACTACAAAGCCCATTTATGCTTGCTGTCTACTGACAATGATCATGGTCAAGGGGAAAAAGCATGGGCTGAAAGCATTCCAGTCTTGGCATTTATTAGCTGAAGTCTGTGACAAAGCACCGAATGTCCTTGGGTCTTGCTTAATTGTGTCTTGCTTTGTATCTTAATTTGTATCTTAGGATGTTATGATCAGAGTAGACCGAAGCCATAGCAGTGACGAGGAGAAGGGCATATGGGACCCCTGCAGGTCAGACAGGAAATGGAGTACTGGGCTTGTGGGGCCCCAAGGGGAGGAGATATCCAGGAGGATAGAGGGTTGAGCTTATATAGGAATCAAATCAGTATGTATTTGTATTTGCTACATATATAGTGCAGTGCTGTGTGCTGTAAACAAAAGTGCATTTTGGACATGCAAATTGCTTATGTACTCATCCTTATTCACCAGTTGTTGGTGTACACCAATAATGTATTCAGAGCAGGTCTACCAGTGCACAAGAAGACAGCCATACACACTGAGTTCAACTTGCTTGACCTCACTCCCCAGTGGTGGGAAATGTGGATTGCTGACCTTGAGATCTTAGGCTGCTCCACATTTCCTTATTGCTTGATTTGTAAAATGGGTAATACCTAAATTACTTCAAAGCTAGTGGGCTGGGTCAGCATGTCTGTGAAGTATCTTTTAGTTTTAAGATATGATTTTAAAGTATTAGAACCAAATAATGTTTTACTGGCATAGTAGTTTTAATGAGACAGATATGGACTCAAATTTTTCCTACATTTTCTACAAGGTAGTGCCAAGAATGCTACTTATTATTTCTCATTTTCTGTTTTCTACTTTCTAAGATGGGACTATCCACCATCTCACAAAATGAGATGACTGTAAACTGCTTAGCACGACTCCTGGTTCATGGAAAGTACTTAATAGAGAGAAAATGTAAAAACAACCACACCTATAACCATAAGGCTTGAGGTCAAATGGCTTAAATGCTTACAGTTTTTCAGACAGAAAATAAACCTAACTAGAATACCCACCCCCAGGCATTTCAGTTCAGCAAGTTTGCACTGATGTGCAAAATTATGCTTGAGAACTATTTGGTTCACAAACAACTTGTTTCCTTCATGCAGATAGTGATGTATTTGCATAGATTTATTAAATTTCTTTCTAGTTGAAACTTCAGAATATGATTTCTAATTCTTAGCAACAACAATATAAAATTATTAGCAACCTTTAAGAATTTTAGTTGGAATACTAGATACTTCTCTGGTCTGCATATTGGCAAGTTTATTCTCCCATCATTTGGAAATGGGGAAATACGCCTGACTTGTCCTTTTTCAATGTACTCATCAAGATTGTGGGTGCCTCTGGGGTGTCTCTTCCCTTCCCCTTCTTCATAGTTGGAGAAGAGAATGATTAGACTGTGTGCAGGTACCAGAACCCAAGGGTCTGGTAAGAACCCACGGCAGTCCATAGCGAGGACCTTACCAGTGGGGCCAGATCTGAAAGAATACTAGCATGGGTTAATTTTATGCTTTAGCCCCTCTATTTTCTATGTCCTTATTTGTTTCCTACCTATCTAAATTATTAAATAAGATAGTTACTTTACTTAATAATATTGTTTAAGTAAAAGTAAAACACTTGCTGATAAGGACTTACAATACAATGCTTTCTGGGAAGTTTTTTTTAAACTTGTAATTTTGAAATAATTATAGACTCATAAAAATTTGAAATAATATTATAGAGGGTTTCTATATACCCTTAACCCAGCAACTCTACTGGTAAAATCTTATATAACTACAGTGCTACCAAAACTAAGAAATTAGTGAGGGTATAATATAATGAGCTACACTATGGACAGAAGAATTTTAAAAACAATTTTTATTAGGATATATTTGTTGTATGGGGGGGAGTTGTGACAATTCTCAATAGGCTTACTTTATACTTTGGTTAGATCTCCCTCATCATCTCCCCTCCACCCCCTCCACTCCACCTAAAGAAATTTCAAGAGGTTTCATTGTTTTATTTTCTATAAGTATATGAAGTCTATCCACCATATTCCCTCACCTTAATCTTCTTTGTAACCCTCCCCTTCCCACAAAAGTTTCCCTGTACCTATTTTACAGTCCTAGACAGAGGAATTTTTAACAAATGAAAAATTTGTTAAAAATGAAAAATTCTCAAGCTTAAAAGAAATCTTTTCTGAATCCTAATGTCATCCCATTTGTGTATACTTTGTTTTTTGTACTTGTCTCACGAATGTGTTCTCTGTCCCTTCGGAGCTGTGTTCAGCCTCTATTCCTATAGCTCATTAAATACCTGGCATTCAGGGCACTTTTGGTTTAAAAATTACTGATAGCTGTTTACATCTATAAAGGGCTTTGTAGTTTTCAAAGCCCATTTATGCTTGCTGTCTACTGACAATGATCATGGTCAAGAGGAAAAAGCATGGGCTGAAAGCATTCCAGTCTTGGCATTTAGGAGCTGGAGTCTTGTGACAAGGCACCCAATGTCCTTGGGTCTTGCTTAATTGTATCTACATGACAGTTATTGTGAAGATTCAAGAAAGTATCTTTTGCAATAAAGAACCAAATGCAGGGGCTGTGAGAGGTAGATAGGGCAAAGGATTTGATTGTCATTATACAAACAAAGGCTCGACAGGGTAAATTAATTGTTGAAAATCATAGAACTAGTACATGGTAGTACCTCTTAGGATAGGTATCATCCATGATTTCATATGTTTTCCAGGTAACAGGAGGGTGGATTAAATTACAAAAAACAACCCAACAGAGTAAAGCAAGAATCAACAGCCCCGGGACAGTTGTAGTTGGTGTTCTTTGCCGAGGAAATTCTCACTTAGCAGAGGCTGGGTGGTGGGTTATACTAAGCCAAGGTTGCGGTTGCCATCTCAAGCATCCCCTGACCAGTACTCTGCTCTCCCATGCCCAGTCAACATCAGGTGGCCGGAGTCTTGTTTGCCCAGCTCTGCACCGCACCCTTGTATACCAGTCTCCTATGGAAAGTAGTAAAGGGTGAGGATTTGGAGCTCTCAACTATTCACACTGCATTATCAAATTTTTCTTCTTAATTCAAAAAGAACTTAAAATTTAAAAGTTAGAGGGTTTGAGTGTTATCATTGTCGTCATTTTCTAGTTTAACAGTTAACCTGAGAGCACATGTTAACTTGGAAATTTTTCACTAACCTGAAGTGACGTTAGTGTCATATTAGCCAAAACTACTTCTCAACTTGCCCTGAACACTTTCTGTACACCCTTGAATTCTTCATACCAGAAGGCTATTTTAGAAATATTCCTTTGGCTTATTCAATCTGTTTATTTCATGGAAATAGAGTAGGCACGGTAACATTGCCATGGATTTACAATGTCTGTTGGCTGCAAATGCCCAAAGCTCCAATACTCCAGACACTGGGTCATAATTACAAACATCCAATTTTTGGTGGTGGTTTGCAATTTGACTTTTTCCCCTTCCATTTAAAAAATGGGAATGTCATAATCAAGATGAGAGATGGAAAAAAGTGAGGCTTCTGAGTCGTTCCTCTGGTTTTGATACTGTCTGCTACTTTTGACCATTTAAGTGAATGTACTAGTGTTAAAGAAGAGAGGAGAAATAGAAAGAAGAATCACTGGTATAGTACAGGCTGTCAGAGTTGAGAGATTTAGAGTAGAAATTTACCTTAAATTCCTCAATAGAATGTCTTAGTGTAAGCAAAACCTTGCAAACTTTTAAGATAGAAGAATATAAACATGCTTGTGAGTTCTAAATTTGTTGAGGTTCACATCTCCAGAATCCTAAGGTATAAAAGATACAAAGACTCTTTCTGTCTTGCCTTGCCTTTCTCATTGTTCTTTACCTAAGAAACAAAATTATTTTCTTTCTACTTGAGTCATAATTCAAATGAGACTTGATAAGTAGTGATTCTTTCACCTAATTTAAAACAAGATTTAAAAAAAACAAACCATGACACATATAAGTAAAACAAAATTTGTCATTATAGTAAAACATATATCTGGAACTTCTTGTGTATCTATTTTTTTAAAATTGTTTTGTGCTTTTCCTGGTTTTTCTTTCAAGGAATAATGAAAAGCTTTCTAAATAAACAGATTTACATGACTGCATCTCACCAAATCACAGAAACTAAACAAACATGAAGCCTTTCCCAGGAAATTTCAGTGGACATGTTCCTTGGACACAATTTCTTTAAGGACTGCTACTCTTTAAATATTATAATTGCATTACTTATAATATCAATTATACAAATTGGTTGTTAGGAAGTAGCAGTTTATATGGCATGTTAGTCACATTTAATTATTGACTATGACAATATATTCCAGGTTTCAGTACAAATACCAGAAATGTACTGATAAGAATAATTCCAAAGCATGATTTCAATTTTATCGGAAAATGCATTTTTTAACTTAAAAGCATAAATCTAACGAACATTTGTACTTGTCAATGTTTCACAAAATAGTAAGATATATAAAATCACATGCTGAGCATACTTACAATATTTTCCAATCATTAAGATGTAGAAGAAAACAGGACCAGATGTCATCTCCCTCTTTCTGAGCAACTGATTAATGAAAGTGAGTAAAATGTGGTCTTGGTTCTGAGTCGCGTGCAGCTCCCGGCGGTTGTGCTATTTCTGCCTGCAATCTTAACAGCTAAGGAGAAGCCGTCCTCCAGCATCTCCCATTCTCTCTCCATTCCCTCTTCTTTTCTTCCCTTCTCTCTCAGGATTTCTTCACCCCGCCCTCCTTCCCTCAAAGTCTGAATATCCTTCTCTGTGCAGATACAGACACACACACAGACACGCACATACACAGATAAAGCTGAACAGTGAGAAAAAGTTTCAGACAGAGAATCCATAGACCAGAGTCTACAAATAAAAGTGTGTGTAAACACGGACCTGATCAAAGTTCTACTACTAGAAAGAAATTGAGCTAGAGAGGGATCCCAAACAAAACCAAAACCAAATTTTTTTCCCTATGACCCAGGGCTAGAAAAAGGAGAACACGACACATGACAAAATGCCTTTCTGGAACAACTGTAAGGCAGGGATTAAGACTGTAACTACAGCAGCCTTTTACGATGTGTTTTTGTTTGGGAATTTGAACAATAGGATGTGGCTCAAAAGGAATAAAAAAAATCAAAAATTCTTTTGAATTTGTGAATTTTGCTACAGGAAAGATGGTGACATGTCCTTGGCTGTATAATTAAAAGCCTTCCTGGGTTTGAATGGTAGGAACCCTGCTCTCTAGGGCCTGTAGCTGTTGGGCTGAGACTTAATTTTTCAGAGGAACATTCTTCAAAATAGCTGTGATGACCAGAGTGCTCACCGAGGTCAGCTGTAGGTCCTATGGTATTCATGAGATAACGGTTTTTATTATATGGACCACCACCAGCAGAAGAAAAGCATGCAAAAATGAAGAACATCCTATGGAATCATTTTCATCTGACCAGGTGTATCATTCTTACTGTGTGACTTGATAATGTGCGCTTAGAACATGGGAAGCACATTGACATCGGAATTTCTTTGTGAGGCTAATGCCTCCTACTTGTAGATTTTATAAGTAGAATTACATACCTTTATATCAATATGAGAAACCCATTTCTAAATATTGCATAAAAGGTTATTTTAACACTGTCTTTTCTCCCTTCTAGGTATAATTACTTCCATGAAAAGAGAAGTTTGGCACTGGAATCTTCACAAGTCTTTATTCATGTGGCAATAAAATTTATTCAATGAAGACACTATTCATTTGGTAGAAATGTTTATGGTTAACTGAATTTAAATGTCCACTCAATATTCAATATTTTAAATAATGCTTGAAACGCTTAAAGATTTTGCGTGGGTAGTTCATGGATTATTCAGTTCTTTAGAGATAAAATTTTAGAAATAGCATTCCTGGAAGGACACCATGAGACATGGAAGGGAGATATCAGGAGAGGGACCCAAGATTCAAGATTGAAGTTGAGGGATGTGATTTGGAAATTGTCCCAGCATAAAGTAAGTTATTCACACAGAGTTTTCCGAAGTCATTTTCTGATGAAATTTTGTTAGCTCTGAAACACTTTGCCTGAGCATCTATCACACACATATGCAGTTAGGGGAGCAGGAGCCGGGATGTACTTTGTAGCAATGTATTTCTAATCTATTGAAATTATCAGTATAAAATTTCAAAATCAGCTCTCATTTTTATTAAGAATACATGAGGCTTTACTATGGCTCAGGATAACTTTTTCCATTTATGTTCTCAGGATGCTTCTTTCTTTATTTTTGGCAAAGACATGAATCTGGAATATTATGCAAGTGCATATGGTGAGGAAACTCCAAAGTGATGCAGAGTGCCCCATCCATCCACAGCAGGTGATAGTGGCAGGAGAACTCTTGATTCGGAGGGCTGTCCTTTGCACTGAAGGACATTTGGCCGTGCCTCTGGTCTCCACCCACTGGATGCAGGTAGCACTCTGTGGTTGTGACAATTGGGAGTATTTTCAGGCATTGGCACATGTCCCTTGGGGGACAAAATTGTTCTTGGTTGAGCAATTTGTAAATAAAGACTTCCTTGAATAATGCTTACATATTAATTTTTAAGACCAGATTACTGACATAGAATTCTTTTTGCTTAAAATTTGAATTAGAGTGTGTTCTCTCATTATTTTGTTTTGCAGTTTGAAGACATACATTAAAACAAACAGATGGTATGTGTTCTTAGCCTTCTCTTCCTGCCCACGTTGTTCAGTTATAAACTTCAACCATAGGCCTGAGTGAATCTGTGATGTCAGTGCCTCTGCTTGGCTGAGCATTTTCTGTGTTTTCTACCTATCTTAATGCTGACAAGGGCTAATAGAGGTCTAACACCCTTTCTCATTTTGAACCCTCTTCTTGCGGAAGAGGGTTCTCACTTCTCTTAGAAAGAAGGCCGGGCATGGTGGTACATGCAGTAATCCAATTACACAAGAGGATTGTGGTTCAAGTCCAATCTGGGCAAAAAGTTAGTGAGAACCTAGCTCAACAAAACAAGCTGGGCATGATGGTGTGTGCCTGTCATCTCAGCTACATAGGAGGCCTACATACGTGGATCATGATTTGAGGCTGACTCTGGGCAAAAGCAAGATGCTATCCGAAACAACTAAAGCAAAACATAACGAAAGCAAAAAGGGCTAGGGGCATGGCTCAAGTGGTAGAGTGCCAACCTGACAAGTGCAAGGCTCCAAGTTCCTCAAACAAAACAAACAAAAAAAGAACAACTTAGTGAGGGTCTCTGGATAGCAACAAACTTCCTTTTAAAATTACTTGTAACAATATGTAAATATGTATGTTGTATGTATGTATGTATATATATGTATGTATGTATCTATCTACCTATTACCTACCTACCCATCATCTTAAGCAATAAATAATAAATGCTGATGGTATTTGTTAAGAGAAGGCTCTGTACAGAAATTGTTAGTATTAGTATTGGCAGTACTGGGATTTGAACTAAGGGCCTTTTGCTTGCTAGGCAGGTGCTCTACCATTTGAACTACAATCTTAGTCCAGAGCTTACTATTTTAATCTTGTCTTATTTGGTTCCCTCAAGCTACTCTAATTGAAGCAGTTCAAGCTCTATGCTCATTCTGTCTACATTATGCCCACCTAGTTCAAGTACGGCAGAATAAAGAAGATATACAGTGCTTTATTAAGACAGTCAACCTTGCTGTTTGCTAATTGAACAAATGGGATTGCATCAGACAAAAAAGCTTCTGTTAATAGCAACAAAATGAAGAGACAGCCTATAGAATGGAGAAATTTTGCCAGCTATGTACTTGACAGGAGATTAATATCCAGAATTGTAAAGAACTAAAATGTTGACCACCAAAGAACAAGCAATCCAGACAATAAATGGGTAAATGAACTGAACAGATACTTCTCAAATAAAGTACAGTGGACAATGATTACATGACAAAATGTTCAACATCTTTGTTTATCAGGGAAATTAAATTAAAATGACATCGAGATTCTGTCTCATTTGTCAAAATGGCTATCATTAAGAAAAGAAAACAAAACGTTGTTAGAATTTGAGGGTGCAGGGACCCCTATCACGGTGGTGGGAATGTAAATGAGTGTAGTCACTGTGGAATCACTGGAGGTTCCTGAAAAAACTAAAACTAGAGCTGCTATGTGATCCTGCTTTACCACTCCTGGGTATCTACCTGAAGGAACAGAGACACTTGCACACCCATGTTCATAGCAGCACTATTCAAATAGCCAGGCTATGGAGTCAGCCAAAGGTGTCCATCAGCTGGTCAAGTGGATAAAGGAAAATTGGTCTATAATACAAAATGAGCTATTATTCAGCCATAAAGAAGAATGAAATTGTGTCATTTGCAGGAAAAGGATGGAATTGGAAATCATCATGAAATAAGCTAGACTCAGAAAGACAAACACTGTACCCACATGTTTTCTCTCATACGTGGAATCTAGATTTAAAAAAGAGGACACGAACGTGGAAGAGGGCTCTTAGAGAAAAAAAAGGGATCCGAGGGAAGGGGTGAGCGTTAAGGGAGGTGATGGAGTGGGCACGATTAAAATTTATTATACACACATATGACAATCTCACAATGAACCCATTATTCTGTATAATTAATATGCATCAATAAACACATAAATGTAAAGAGAGAGAGGGTCATCCTTGCCGTTTTATGTCTGGAATCACTTCTTGAGCAGCTGACGCACCCTCTTGTCCACACCTCACTGCGCACGCTCAGCCACTGCAGTTCCCGCAGCTCCTTCAGGTGTCTTTGCTCAGGAGCAGCCTTGGTCGCTGGCCCGTGCCTCGGCTTCCTCTTCGCCCTGGGGAGCAGGCCTGCGCCAATTAGCGCTGTTTGTCCAGCCTCATGACCCCAGTGCTCTCCCCCAGAGAGCCCCACCGAAGACTGCCTGGTTTGGTACAGGGATCTCTTCCGCATGCCGGAAGGCACAATCAATGGCAAAAGTAGCAACGGCTTATTCCAGCGGTGCCACTAGCACACTGGGAGTCACAGTCCTGTCTTTCGCTGTGATATGTTCCTCTGAAGTCCTGGAGTTCTGGCTTCAGCAGCCTCACTTGTAACAAGGCTGACCCTTTAGTCGCATTTACTGCTACGGTAGTTTATGAATAAGGTAATTTGCTTCACAGTAATTGACAAATTAGTTGTGGGGGTAGAATGCGATATTGAATTGCCTAAAGTCTATTTACCAAGTCTCAATGAATACAGACTGATGTTCAAGGAGACAAAGGACATGACAAGGCTGGTACAGAGAGCTGAGTAGGGCCATCCACGGACAGCTTTCTAGGGAAGGAAAGATGTGCAATGAATGTGGAAGACAGAAGCACATGGATTCCAAGTGAGTAATAAAACATTTCACATCACAGAGAAACGAGTGCAGAGATAGGTCTTGTGCAAACAGCCGGATGGACCTAGCATAGGAAAAGCATGAATTGACTGAAGAGCCAGCTGTGAAGCTCTGGAGACTGTCAGATGTTGGACCTGATTAATTTAGATAACACACAGTAAGCTCTGCAAACTTTGAATAATAGGGAAGCAGGGCATAGAGACAGTGTAAGTGACAGAGCAGTTAATCTGGTTAAAAGCACTATATATGCATGTCTGAAACATCAGGTGAAATCCTCGTGAATAACCAGTAACACTTAAAAAAATGAAGGACAAGAGGGTAAAAAGGTCCTGTACAGGGGT